ATTTAAACCGAAACTTGTGTGCGTTTTTCTTTAATTTGATTTCCAATAAATCAAAAGTAATAAAACTTTTATAGCTGGCCAATAAATTAAAACGGCCGACGAAAAAGTTAATCAATACAAAAAACTGGCTGCATACCCATGAAAAGTAGAATTTGGCACCTTAATGTTGTGAATCCAACTAGAATCAATATCAGTAATGAAAAAAAATATTGCTTCATCGGAACATTCACATTGAAGATTTGTTGATTCTGACTTATGCGCTATAGCGTCTGATAAATTTATTAATAACCAATTCAAATCGTGTATCGCTCGCGATATCAAACATATTGGCACGTTTGCTTTGCTGTTTTCTTTCTTACTTTGCCCCTTTCAAACGAACGAAGCGATAAGAATAAACGGATTTCCAGGAAATTTCAATAGAACAGATTGAAGTGTAGCTGTGTATTCCGAAAACCATTTGAGATAGTGCAAAGTCAATACATCGACTTCGATGAATTGAAGAATTAGCTGCTCAGTCACACAGCAGTCATTGAGCGGTGAAGTTGCAGCTAGAATCGAAGAAAATCATTTTTTGTTCATTCTCAAATAAACTGGTTCGAAGGTTTGATCCTAATCCTAGTTGGCGGCGCATCTTTTTTCTTAAAAGTAACATCACCATCGTGTGAAATAGAACAAAACAAACAGTTGCGAGGTTGACGTTGAGTTTGTCGCATACGCATTACAATCTGTCATAGTTGTCAAGCCGTCTTGATTGGAATTCCAAACGAGTTGCAAATTTTAATTAGAATTATTGTTGACAATGTCTTCAAAAGTGGTTGCAAACGCCCGAGCACTTCAAATCGTCGAGCCAACCGATGATCATTCATTTGTACTGAAAATCGATGCACTGGAAACGATTTTAAACGCAGAAAGTATTCGAGATCGTCATGTAGTCGTGGTTTCTGTTGCTGGAGCGCTTCGACAAGGCAAAAGTTTCCTGTTGAATTTCTATTTACAAAACTTGAATGCTCAGGTAAGGGACGATTGAAGATTGTGAACATTTTAAGTAAAAAAAAATAACTGAATTAAAATTTGGTGTACAGTACAAACGGAAAGATGCTAGCCAATTCCTCAGTGAAAATTTGCGCAAATGTTTTTCTTGGCGTGGCAATTGATGAGACATTCAAAATGTTCCCTTTCGTTTTTTCTCGATGTGGAACTGTCAACTTCATAGGTTCAACCATGCTTCGTACATTGGTATTCATGATGCGATCATAGTCATCCAAATCAATACTATCCACAGGATTACGCGCCACTATGGCGGCGTTATTAATGAGGACAATGAGTTGGCCAAAATGACTTACTAGAATGCATCGCGCGTCTACTGTCAATAGGAAGCTGGGTATGTTTTAGTAAAAACATCGTCGATTATATGAGTGGTTTGGAGAGAAAATGTTATACAGAAAAGTTGAGCGGAAAAATGTCAAATGAAAAGAGATAGCTATATAGTTCACTGTAGTAACTACATAAGAAAGCTATATAGTAAACTACAGTGTACAGTGTAGTTTACTATATAGCTACCCCTTTCCGCTCATTCATCATCGACATTTTCGCTCCAAACCACTCACATGTTAATCTGCCACTGTATCGCCAATTTTGCTCAAAGGATTTTTCGCCTTTTTCGGATGTCTTTGCAACGTCAACCAACAAATTGACGAACTAGTTTATCCCTTTATTTACTTACATTATTATTTCAAGACCATTCAGTGAAATTAATGCAATTTAAACATGGAAATACAAAATATTCTTCATTGAAATCTCATTGTTTTATTGCGACAAATTCCAAGGCTTTATTCAATTTTGAAAAAAAATTGATATTGTAATTGTTGCATGTTTCAAACTCATTTTCGATTGATAAAATAAATAAATTTGAGCTTTTATTTTCCCGCTGTAAGTGCGCCACCGTCTATCTACTGGCAACAGAAGGCCAGTGATAAAAGAAGCAGTTGAGTCATTGACTAAAAATTCTATTGCTGCAGATGTATCGGTGCATTCGTCAACACGTCCAACAGGGGTAGATATTCTTGAAGCTCTCGAAAAATGCTTCAGCTTGCTGTGGTGTCATGCCAACACTTGTTTCGAATAATGGTGTACGAATTGCGACTGGGTTGATGGCGTTCACTGTGTGTGGAAAAAAAAAATCACCAAATTAAATTATATTATATTTTTGAAGCCATACTTCCACTTACCTCGTATTCCCTTTGCTCCCAAATCCAATGCTGCGCTCTTTGTCTTAATTAAGCAAAGCAATCCGGTTTGACACGTAATCCGGCTGCGCTCGATACATTCAAAACGTTACCCTTTGTCTTTTCCAAGTGTGGAACCGCCAATTTGGTGAGTTGGATTACACTGCGCATATTTGTGTTCATGATGCGATCATACTCGTTCAAATCCATGTTTTCGATGGAATTCCTTGAATATATGCTGGCATTATTGATGAGGACATTCAATTTGCCAAAATGGTTTATTGTTTCGTTGATAATGCGCTCAGCATCAACTGTGACATCTGCTACAATTGCCAATGCAGCTGGTGAACCGGCGCTTTTGATTCGTTCGCTCGCCTCGTTTAGACGTTGCTCATTGCGACCAACTAAAGCAACACTTGCACCTTTTCGCGCCAAACGCTCTGCGGCATGGGCACCAATCCCCGAACTTGCACCTGTTATCAAAATAACTTTTTCTGCGAAGCTCAGGTTGATTTGTTAGTACTACAAATGAACGCGTGAGAATAAAAGCCTGACGCTAGCAGGTTTTTCGCAAAAACGGGATAACAATCAGTTGCACGCAAAAGAGACATTTTAAAAGGTTACACGCAAACGGAACATTTTATTTTGTCGCATTTTGAATTTTAAAGCCGTGATTACAACAACAATATACTTCTCTCTTGCGTGCAACCTTTTGAAATGTCTCTTTTGCGTGCAACTGATATTTATCCCGCTTTTGCGAAAAACCTGGTAGCGTCAGTCTTTTATTCTCACGCGTTCAAATGTTGATGTTTCACTTTTGACGTTTGACTCTGAACTGCATAGCCGGATTGCAAGATACTTCAATTTATGACATTTGTTGAACTTGACACAGATGATTTCAAGTAAATTTTTCAAACGATTGCCTGACGTTTAAGATGTTCGTTATCGTGGTTAGGAAGCATACAGTTTTTTTCCTACCTACAAAATTATACCACATAATTTCCTGGAGCAACAAAAAATGTTTATTTTAAGTGGTTTTTTCATCAAGTACATGTTTTTAAAATCTTTTTTGTTCTTTTAGCTTGAATGCAATCAAATTTAGTTTTTCCTATATTAATGGATTATTTATTGATTGTCCAGAAAATGCAGAGTGATTGAAAATTTTCTTCTCAAAATTGGTTTCTTCCTTCGCCAAATGGGCCGAAAATTATTTTATTTGCAAATTTCATTTTTGCGTTCACACGAAAATGCTTAAGGTTCAATCACACCACAATGATGGGTCTATCACCAACTCTACCAAGTTTTCTTCCTTCTCCAGTTTCAAATATCGGCGTTCGGATGGCTCCTGGATTGATTGCATTGACTGTGACTAAAAATCGCTGATTAAAACATGTTACATTTTTATTCACTTCTACTTCCACTTACCTCGTATTCCTTTTGGTGCCAAATGCGTTCCAATATGATTTCACGTATATTAATGCGATGCATTCGCCATTTATCGCTGTAAGAAGCTATAATCTGTGCATCATTATGATCATCCGCAGGACAAACAAAACGTAAACTTTGAAGCGACTCAAATAATGGTAGTACATCCTTGTACAAGTCTTTTTTAAATAAATATGTGATACGCATGTGTTTTAGAAATGGCAACGCTCCCTGTAATTGGTTCGTCTCTATTAAACCGCTAACAAAGTGAGTTGCGAGTGTCAATTTCTCAATCATTCGATTCTGATTAATAAAAGTCAGAAGTTGTTCAGTACAATAAGACGAAGAATAACACAATTCGAATTCTTTCAATTGACGAAATGCAAATGGGATTTGGCTAAAAAACCCACTGAAAGAAATTTGAAATTTCGTAACATTTTGCAAATATATCGGTTTGTTATTTGTTTGATCAAGGGTAAGACTTGTTAGTGAAAACCTTTCAATAGATTGCAGATGTTCACTAATACTTTCTAAGTACCCAAAATTTCTACATTGGAGCTTTAAACTGCGTATATTTGGATTTAATTTCAATATAGCTCCTACACAGAATTTCTCATAATAATCAAATGGTCTAATATAACCGTCGTTCAATTCCAAGTGTTCCAAATTTGAAAAATGATCTGACATAATGGCATAACGAGTATTTTCTTTGCAATTTGGTAAGTTCAATGGTAAATGCAAGCGGCGCACATTTGGGAAAACTCTACTCAAACATTTTTCATTTAAAAAAGACACATTCGAGATTTTTACATCTTCAACGCTTGGAAATGGGTTTTCAATGCGCTCAAAAAATAACGCATAGTCAAATGAAACTTTTCTTAAAGACGTAACGCAAAACTCATACACGTGGCTCATAATGTTATGATAATTTTGAAATTGTCCATTGTTAAAACTAGGCGAATAACAAAAATCTAGCTGAGTTATCATTCCGCCAAAGCAGCGTAGCATTTGGAAGGTTTGTCTTAAATCGACGATTGTTATTTGATCCTTCGATACTATGGGATATGTCATATCGGTACGGTCATATTCGTCCCTTTCTTTCCGACCAATTTTGACTGATTTTCCAGCATAATTTCGAACGAATGGCATATAAGTAGCTGATTTCAGGTATATATTGGCATCCGATACGTTCAAAAGGTCTTCCAATTTCAGTTGAGTGAAGATATGTTCGAGGCAACATTGATTGACATCAGTGATTTTGGTTCGATTTTTCAAGTCCAATGACTCTTCCACGTCCAGTTTTCTATTGTCACATTGATCAAATCCATCTACCGTACACTTCGGCTCCAAATCACGTACTATATCAGCTGATATATTTGCCATTTTCGAGAAAATCGGAAACAACTGTGAAAAAGTGAAATATAGAAAATTCCATTAAAAATGAATATCATGTAGTTGTATCAGTGGGAATGGATTGTCCTCAAAACCTACCATTTCTTATGTTTTCATGGAATTTTTATGTGAACTAGAGACTTTCAAAAAAGATGGTTAAAAAAACCGACTGAGTTTTCAAAATTGACAAATCTTGTCTATTAAAACAGAGTACTTTAACAAGAAAAGATCCGAGGATATGGGAGTTTGAATTCATTGCTTTTTTGGTGGTTCTCGATTGAGAGAACAAATACACAAATGGCAGCCATCTTAAAACGGCTGTAAATATTTAAAACTTCGGTATTTTTTCTACTTAGGGAGTAACGAAAAATTCTAAACTTCATTTAGATTAACAAAGAACAACGCAACTGAATAGACTGACGATACGATTTTAATACGTAGAGTCTTTAGCTTCCAGTGGCGAGTTGCGCCCTACTTTCAAAAACAAATTTTACAACTTCAAAAAACATCAGCTTACACTAAGTTGTTCCTACAAATGCTGCCTCTCAAATTCTGCACGATCAAAAAAGTAATAGAAGAAGATATGATATACTCACATGAAATAATAATGTGTTCAATTTCACTCAATGCCGTTTTTCATATGAAAATGGAATGAATAAATTTGTTTAGCGTTCGACAAGGAAATAGTTTATAAAACATACAACACTCTTATACACTTATAAATTTTATTTATTCAATACGATGCCTCTAAATATACAGAACGGACAGTTTCTTGTTTATGGTTTTCCCAAGTTGATAAAATGAACGTTGATGGCAAATGTGGGTGCGAATACTGATATGAATACGTATATATCAAACGTATGTGCAGGCAAATGGCGCGGCAGCTAATTGTTTTTCACACACTCATGTTACTCTAACAATCCAGGTGGTAGTGGTAGTAAGTGCTCTATTGCTCTGTTGCTCTGTTGCTCTGCACTTCATTCTTACAATTTAATGGTATTGGTAGATAACAAGTGACATTGAGACGAAAAACTGGGACAAAATTCCAGAAAAGGATTATATTGACTTCAATACATGTATGTGTTTATTGTAGTTTCATTTGAAAACATGTATCTATTTTAAGCCTAGTTGACAGTTCGCCGTGCGAAAAGAAAAATAAAAATGTCATTTTGCATCGATTTATAGGTATCTAAACGAGCCATGCAGAAAAAATATTTGGTATTCCACACATTTTTTTGCATACAAAGTAATTGTCGGTCCATTCTTTTGTATGCAAAAAAAATGTGAAGAATACCAAATATTCTTTTCGCATGGCCGGGCTAGGTACCTAAAAGTCAATGCAAAATGACACTTTTGTCGCATGACGAACTGTAAACTAGGCTTTATGGGAGGAATTCTATGCACCAGTATTTTCAAGATAGAGACCATGTTGCTTATTTAGTAACACTTTTTAGAAGTTCATTTCAACTTTTGCACGTCGTTAGATGCACTCATGAACGCGATTGAATGAACTCACCAACAATGTTTTGGGAATATATTTTTATTGAAAATTAATGGCAAGATTTTTTACCCATACTGTATTTTGACTTGATTTTCAAAATTGAAAACCTTTTTTTAGGTGTTCACTTTTTTCCAGATAGTAAATTTTACACTAGATAGAATGGATTTTTTTAACACCATCATGAATTTTTGGTCTTAAAATTTTCAATGGGAATTTTTGGCGTCGGAACCTATGCTCAAATTCAAAAAAATTTAACGAAAAAATTGAACTCAATAATATTTTAGTTCGAACTATATACGAATTGGAGATGGACCTTGCATTTGTCCCAATCTTGATTTATCTCACATTTGACATCAAATTTAGCTATCTTATTT